GGAGGAGGAGGAGGAGGAGGGCACTCAGATGCGGAGACACACGCACACACACACATACTTTGTCCATTCGTTGTGCGCTGATTGGCGCTTGCGCAAATATGTTGCGCCAGTATCCGCCACCGTGTCGCGAGACACAGATTGGATCGTCCTCAGGCCCATTGGAGTCCTCGGGCCTCTGTCTGAAGCTTCATTGAAGGACCTCGGCCCCAAATTCTCAGATCTCTTGGGGCATGGCGAGTGGCTCCCGGGCCTTGCCCCGGCTTGTTAAGTACTTCGTCGGGCCCAAGAGGGGCTAAAACGAGCCAAGAGGGCACCCAAGGGACCTCACGACGGTCCAACAGAGCCTCGAGTCGCGGAGACATCGCTCCAAGACGGCCTACGGACGGCCAGAGAGGCCCCAAGGACGCCCCGAGAGAGCGCCAAGAGCGCGTCCAAGAGGGCCCCGAGAGGTAAACATCATAGATGCTCCTTGGGGTTTAGACGGATCTGAGCGTTCTGGCCTTTTCGGCCTTCCGACGCTCCAAGACGGCGCACGAGGCCTCCTGGATGGCCCCCAGGCGGCCCAAGAAGGCCCTAAGAGGACTACAAGATGGCGCAGGAGCGCCTCCAAACGGCCCAGGCTTCCAATGCGGCCTAAGACAGCCCCCCAACACGCCCCAAAAGGAACCCCCACAACGAGAGCACGAACTGCCATGTCGAGCCCTCCGCCCCACCAGGACCCCCGAGACCGCCAGCAAGCGCCCTCGAGACCCTCAAAACAGGAAGCCCTTACGAGGCCCAAACGAGGCCCTTAAACGGCCTGCAAGAGGCCTCACATTGTCTCCAAGAGGCTAAAAGAGACCCCACGAAACAGCCAGAAGGACTCTGACCCGAGACCCAGGCAGAGTGGCGGTTCGTGCGAAGGCCAACGCGCCCAAATCCCCCATCCGATCTTAGGCACTGGGAGGGGTTTCGTCAGCCACTGTTCAGCTACCAACGAGCCCTCATCTTGGAATAGATGATGCCGCTACTCGTTGCGAGCCAGAGGCCCACAGATCACAAAGATGTCTGGGAACTTCCGCGCACGTTGGGGTGTTTGCGCGCTCTTTTTTCCTTTCCCACGTGTCCGAATCTTGTCCCCGGGCAGTGCCATGGGGCTGTCTCGGGGGTCCTCTTCAGCCGCCTTGGAGCCGCAAGTGGCCATCCCACGCAACCTCAAACATGAACACGAGACCCGATATCGTGATTTTTCAATACGGCCCCAGAGAAGTCTCGACCCATTCCCCAGGACCGGTTTTTCATCCTGAATCGTTTTGTTGACGGTCCCGAGGCTCGGTAAGGACTCCTGCAGACCGAAAAACCTCCCGTCGTGATTTGTTAAACGCGTTGGATCTCTTGGAACATACACACAAACACACGCAACTTGTTCCATCGGCGGCTAGCCAGAGTCACTGCGCTGTCGAGGAAGCAAAACGGGGCTGCGTTAAGCGAATTGTGCCACCATGGAGGGGGGGGAGGAAACAACAATGCAACGGCCGAAACGCAGGAAGAGCAGGCTGGGGCCGCTCACGGGAACGGGTCGCTCCCCGGGGCGCGTGGCGCGGCCGTCACCGCCGCGGGGCCAGCAGCAGCAGCGGGGCTGCATGGGGGGCCAGCGGCGGCAGAGGCAAATGCCGATCTCTGCCGTACGAGCGTGCCCCCAAGATCTCGCCCCAGGACGTCGAGCCTCCCTCGGTGAGGACCACGCAACTAACGGCTCCCAGGCGGGCCCAACACGTCCCTCCCTCCCCCCCCTCCCTCTCTCCCTCTCCCTCCCCCTCCCTCTCTCTCCCTCCCTCCCTCCCTCCCTCCCTCTCTCTCCCCTTCCCCATCCCTCCCTCTCCGTCCCTCGCTCCCTCCCTCACCCTTCCTCTCCCTCCCTCTCTCTCTCTCTCCCTCTCCCTCGCGGCGCCGCTGCTGACGCCGCCGCCACCCACGGCGGCGACGACGGCGGCGACGACGACCTACCCGCCGCTCTGCTTGCACACGGGGCGCTCCGCGGCGGCGGGCCGCGCCGCGGCGGCGGCGCCCTCCGCCGCGGGGCTCTGCTCGCTGACGCGGCCCACCTGCCGCCCCCCGGGGGGGGGGGGAGGAGGAAGGGGAGGAGGAGGGAGGAGGAGGAGGAGAAGGAGGAGGATGAGGAGAAGGAGGAGGATGAGAAGGAGGAGGGGGAGGAGGAGGAAGAGGAGGAGGAGAGGAGGAGGAGGCGGAGGAGGAGGAGGAGGAGGAGGAGGAGGAGAGGAGGAGGAGGAGGGGGAGGGGGGGAGGAGGGGGATGGGGGAGGGAGGGGGAGGAGGAGGAGGAGGAGGAGGAGGAGGAGGAGGAGGAGGAGGAGGAGGAGGAGGAGGAGGAGGAGGAGGAGGAGGAGGAGGAGGAGAGAGAGAGAGAGAGAGACGAGAGAGAGAAGAGAGAGAGAGAGAGAGAGAGAGAGAGACACACTCCCGCGGACGCGGGTCGCCGCCTCGGCGGCCGCCGCGCCGAGCGCCCGCGGGTCGCAGGCACTCAGCACCATCTCGTCGCCCAGCGCCATGCGGAGGACGAACGCGTGAGTCAATCTGAGGGTGCCCCCAACTCCTGGACCAGTCCACGTGGATGACCCAGTGCGCGCAGTAAGGATGCTTCTGCACACTAGCTCGCGCCACGGCGTCGCGCCGCGGCACCAGCGGCCCTGCCGCTGCCCTGCCGCCCTGCGGCCCGCCCCGCTGCCGCCCTGCCGCCATGCTTCCCCTTGCCCTTGCCCTTGAGCGCGAGCTCGCGGAAGCGGTCGAGCAGGAGCTGGAACTCCTCGGGGTCGTGCGGGATGTCGTCCCGCGTCAGGGTCAGGCCGAAGCTCGGGCCCAGGGCCGCGAGCTCATCACGGAGCGCCTCGGCTCTCTCCATGGTGTAGTCCTCGTTCGCGTCGCTCTTGCCCAAGTCCTTGTCCTTGTCCTTGCCCTTGCTCCGACCTGTGCTGTTCGGCGGGCGGCCCCGCTGCACGGGCAGCTCGTCCGCCCAGGCGTCGTCCAGCATCATGGGCTCGGCCGACGCTGCTGCCCCCTCCGCCGCGTCGTCCACCATCAGACCCTCCTCGACCGTCTCCGTCTTGCTCCCATCGCCCGCCCTCGCACCACGCCCACGCGGGCGGCGCCGCCGCCGAGGGGCAGCGGGGGGCGCATCCGCCGCCGGCTGTGGCGGGGCGGGCGCACGGGGCGTCGCCAGCACGGCGACCGCCGTCCGGAGAAGGCCCTCGGCGGCGCGGATGTGGCGCACCGCCTCCCGCTGGCCGCCCGCCAGCCCAGCAGCCGCGTGCGTCGCCAGGACCGCGCCGCGCGCGGCCTCCAGCATCGCCCTCGCGGCGCGGGCGTCCTGCGTACCCTGCATCGGCCGGACGGCGGGCCGACGGCCCCGCGGCGGCTGACCTTAGCAAAGATGGTACTGGAGGAGGAGGAGGAGGAGGAGGAGGAGGAGGAGGAGGAGGAGGAGGAGGAGGAAGAGGAGGAGGAGGAGGAGGAGGAGGAGGAGGAGGAGCGGGAGGAGGAGGAAGAGGATGAGGAGGAGGAGGAAGAGGAGGGGGAGGAAGAGGAGGAGGGGGAGGAGGAGGAGGAGGAGGAGGAGGAGGAGGAGGAGGAGGAGGAGGAGGAGAAGGATTCTGGGAGCCGAACGCCGGGCACCCGCGCAACGGCTCAGGGAAACGGCTCCTGCAGCGGAGGTGCACGCAGGGAGCGATTCGGCAGGAGATCCCAGAGGAGGAGAAGGAGGAGGAGGAGGAGGAGGAGGAGGAGGAGGGTGAGGGGCAGGAGGAGGAGGGGACAGTGAATACCCGTTTGGCTCCCGCACTCTGACTACTGAAGCGGTCCTAGCGCACGGTCGGTCCCCCACAACTGCACTCTGCTCACCACGCCAGCTTAGGACCTCCACGTGCTCCTCTTCGCCCACTGCATTTTCCAATCTCGGCTGGCATTCGGACACCTCTCCGTCAGAAAGAAGGCGTCGCGCCTGCTTCCCAAGAGGGGGACCCTGGAGCTTTTCTTGAGCGGGGGTCGTGCTGCTTTGCATCCTCTCCGCGAGCATGAGATCGCAACTTCTTGTGTCGCGGGTTACTGATGCTGCTTGTGCACCTCTGATGCTTCCTCCTCGCGTGGGGGTCTTGCTGGCAGCAGCTTCGCCGATCACGTAATAAACAGTGGCTCTGGGGAGCCTTACTTCTAACCAATAGCGGCGGAGGTGCCATTCATTGTCGCATCCCCGCACGGTACATCTAATTTCCGAAATCGAGCGGCGTTCCTCTGTGATGGCCAGGTGGCCAAATCGCGCAGAGAGATTAGTAATGATTTTGGTTGCACCGTGAGCCATTACTTGACATCATATGGAATACGAGTCCCTCCAAATGTGCACTGGTGCACCCCGTTTCTTCAAGGTCTCAATCTCAACTACCGAAATTTAAGCCATGCATCGGTACCATCACACCCCAAATCCGCCTTTCAACCGTGTCCTCTCATACTCTCGCATTACCTCTCGCCTCTTCGCTCGGACGATATCGCGCCTCCCTTCATACCGCCTCTCATTCTTCTCCTCTACTCTCTACCGAGTCTCCAATCCTTCAACGCACCTCTGTCTGCCCGCCTGCTCTCCCAATATGCTCCTGTCCTGTCCTCCCGCAGGCGGACCTCTGGAACCTGGGTGAGCAGGCCAGTCAGCTTCGCGTCCTTGTTTCGCCCGAGAGCCAAGACAATCTCCAGCATGTCGTCCTTCCGCGCTGGGAGAGAGAGAGAGAGAGAGAGAGAGAAAGAAAGAGAGAGAGAGAGAGAGAGAGACGAGCATGAGGAGACGCAGGAGGAGGTAGAGGACGATGGTGCTCTCGACGGAACCAGCGTTGGCTGTAACGAACTGAGCACGCAGCCCTCAAGCGCGCCCAGAAGCTCGCATCGCGCCGACGACGCCACCTGCCCTGGAGCCGCGCGCCGCGGGGCATGACTCATGCACAACCCCCTCTTGGTCTACGGCGATCGGCTCACCAGGCAGCGCCTCGCGCCCTGAAGAGGGGGTGCCCGCCACTGGCTCGCCGTTGGCAGGGTGCCGCACGCAAGCGGCGGTTTCCCCTGGCCCGAGGCGGCGACTCGGCGGGCAGCCTGGTGCCCTCAAGAGGGGGTGCACGCCGTCGGCCGGGGCTCGTCCTTGACGGCGTGCCGCACGGCAGCGCCGCCAGCCCCAGGCCCAGCACTGCCGTGCAACGGCCTGATCTTGAAGCCGAGGACCTCCACGAAGTCGTCTTCCTCCGCCCTGCTGGCGTGGGCGCCGGCCGCCGCGGACCGCCGCGCTCCGCCTCCCGCGGCGGCCTCGGGCGCCGGCGTGGGCCTCGCAGCCGCCTCGACACCTCCGCCGGGCGGCCGGCCGCCCCGGATCAGCGCGCGCAGGCGGTCCACCGGGGCCGGTGCCGCGGCGGCGCCGGCGCGGCAGGCCTCGGCTCCCGCAGGGCGCTGCGGGCCGCCAGGCTGCGAGGTCGGCGTCTCCGCGGCGGCAGGCGCAGCAGCTGGCGCGGCTGCTGGCACGTCGACCGCCGGCCCGCACCTCCCGGGGCCAGCCTCGTCTGCGGAGGCCGCTGCCGCTGCGGAGCGCGAGGCGCGGCGGGCTCTGCTCCCCCCGCGATCAGGGGCCCGGCTCCGCGACCTTACGCTACTGCGCCTCGGCTGCGAGGCCCGCCGTGCCTCGAGGGCGCTGTCAGGCTGCGTCGCGTCCTCCGTAGCGCAACGCTCGGCCAAATTCCTGCGGGAGTCGCTGGCCGCCATGAGCCGCTCGGCGAGCTCATGCTTGGTGCCGAGGACCAGAAGGCCCCTCTGCCGGCACAGCTCGCGCCACTCCGGCGTGCTCAGGAGCGACAGCGCCAGGGACGACGGGCTGCCATCGCCGTCGACCACGTCCGACACCCGCTGCATGGACAGGCTCCTGCGCACAGGCCCGCGCTCTGGGTCGGCGCTTTTCTCGCGCAGCCGGCGCCTGCACGGCGTCGCGGCGCTGAGCGCCGGCTCGACCAGCAGCCGCCCGGGGCTCTTGCTGCGCAATCGTCGCCGCGGGCCCGCGCCGCCCGCCGCGGTCACAACCGAGGCAAGTCCAGGGCCTGGGGACAGCGGCGCGGACGCCCGCTGTTGCGGGGTGCCATAGGAAAGCCGCCTCCTCTGAGGAGTCGGTCCAGCGGAGCTCGCCCAGCTGCATGGCCTCTGTCGCACCCGGTCGTTGTGAGTAGACGACATGATGCCCATGATCTCCGTCAGTTCCGCGTCGTCCGCCTCAACGCTGGGCGCGAACCACGGCTCGGGACTTCCCGACGCAGCCCCGCGGACCTTGCCCTGTGGCGTATGCAGAAGGTCCATGGGGTTGAGCCGCGTGGGGTCGGGGCTCTTTCCGCGCAGGCGCCGCCTCGCACCTCGATCCTGGCTGCGCCTCGGGGTGCGCGGCGTGGTCGCAACCACGCGCGCCACCGCCGCGCGGAGGCACGCTGGCGCCGGCGGGTGGTGGTGCGTTGCAGGCTGCGCGGCCGCGCGGTGCGCGCCAGCCGTGGCTGGGCCCGTCGCTGCTGGCCGCGGGAGGACCGCCGCCGGCGGCTCTGGGCTCGCCTCCGCGGTTTGCGGGCGCGCTGCTGCTGGCCAGGAGCGTGCCGCCGCAGGCTGCGGGCGTGCATCCGCAGGCAGTGGGCGTGCCGCTGCCGCCGGCTGCGTGACTGCCTCCGCTGGCTGTGGGCGCGCGGCGGGTGCCTCCAACTCGCCCGCGGGGTCCTCGACCTTGGACCACACCCAGCGCCACTCCGACGAACAGCTCGCCTTTTGGCACAAAGGAGAAGAGGTCCCGCTTCCGGAAGGACACGGGTCCTGCACATCTGGGGGTCACCCGCGACCCACTCTGCCAGGTCGTTTGTTCACGGCCCTGGGGACGGGGCAGGGCCCTGGTAAACCTAAAACGGTGAAATAACTCAGGACGCCTTTGCCTCAGGACCCCTTTTCCACATGCTGGACCTTGTCCGACACCACGGCCTGGTGCCGCCACTGCCCGAGGCGCTCCAGGCGCTGCCAGCGCTCGACAGCCGCGTGGCCGCGGGTTTCTACCACCTGCCGGAGCTGCTGCATCGCCCGCCCGCGCACGCGCGTGCTGCTTGCACGCCAGCTGCGACGCCGACTTGAGCCAAAATGGCTACTCACGGACGTCGGGGGCGTTGTGCGAGGTACTCTCTCACCAGATGATTGGGTCTACCCGTCGTTTGACAATGGCGGGCCGTTCAGAAGTGTGTCAAAGCCTGGTCAAGCAGAAACACATACGCGTCCAACTCTCTTGCCGTGTACGACATGACATGCCTGTTGACGGCTGAAGGCGCAAGACCTCGGAAGACTTAAACCTCGCAAAGGCCTGGAAGAGATCTGGAGGGCCCCGTACTCGTCATCCCCATCCTCCCGTATTCTCCTCCTCCTCCTTTTCCTCCTCCTCCTCCTCCTTCCCCTGACTGCGTGGCGCTCTGCAGTTGCAAGCGACTCAAACTCATCGCACCTCAATCTGTCCGCCGTCGACCGCTTCTCGGCTCAGGCAGCACAGGGCTGGCGCCAGTGGAAGGCCGACAGAAACACAGGCAGACAAACACTGCAGCAGCGAGGCAGGGGGCCAACCTCCTCTTTCTTCTCGGGAGATGCCCCTATCTCTGCGGCTTGGCGATCTTGGCCTCAACGTGGTGCTCCAAGACGACACCACCAAACAAGGAAGGAGCATCTGCTCCTGCTCTGGCTCCTGCTCTGCCCCCCCCCCCCCCCCGCCTCATCCAGGATCCCGACCGAAGAGGGGGAGGATGGAGGAGGATGGAGGGGAATGAGGAGGGCGGCCGATGTCGCAACCAACCCTCCTGATCACCCCCCCCCCCCTCCAGGAGGGCCCCCACCCACAGCGGGGCCTCCCGAGGGCGCCAGACAAACAGGAAACGCCCCCCACACCTCGACCCTCGGAGCCGAACCGATGCCGCCAGTGCCCCAGGGGACAGCTGACGTGGACATCTTGGGACCCCGGACCCCCCTCACCCCTCCATTGCCCCTCCCTCCCTTCCCCCCCCCCCTCTTCTGCATGTTTGCGAACTCCCGATGTCATATTTTGCTCCCGTTGCACATCGTTGTCGCCTGGCTGGTAGACCGATTGCTCGCCCAGGCCCTGCACGGGGCCGAGCAGCAATCGGGCATGCTCGCGCGGCTCGCTCGCTCGCTCACCCCTCCATTGGGGCCGAGAGTGCACTCGTTCACTGCCCTCCGGGTGCACGGTTTTCCCTCAGGGCCGCAGGCGACCCGAGGAGGAGGAGGAGGAGGAGGAGGAGGAGGAGCAGGAGGAGGAGGAGGAGGAGGAGGAGGGGGAGGAGGGGAAGGAGGAGGAGGAGGAGGAGAAGGAGGAGGAGAAGGAGGAAGAGGAGGAGGAGGAGGAGGACGGGTCGCCTATAGGAGACCCATCTCCGAGGGGCTTATAAGCCCCTCGGAGAAACCCTCCACCTCCCGGGGTCCTGGGGCGCCAATCCCCCGGGCGGTGGACGCCGTGCCGGCGAGAAGCCGGGGGGACTTTCGGGGGGGTGGGGGGGGCGAGAGACGAGGGCGGCCAAGAACACCGTGCACAGTTTGCGTGCCCCTGTGGGGCCTGACGGGGGCCACTCGGAGGGCCTCTCTAAGCTGCGCCAGATCGTGCGCTTGTCTCTTCACTTCGCTTCCCCCCCTTTCAGTATCGCGCCCCCCCCGGGCACTAGACCCTGAGATCCGACGCTTCAAAAAAATTTGAGCAAGCGTTTTTTGGCAGTTTTCGGTCCCCTGGGGGCCTCGGGAGCGTCAAAAAACGACTCGGGACGAAACACCGATCCCGGGGAAGTGGTCGAGACCTCATGGGTCCACGCACCAAAAAATTTGAGCAGCCGGATGTCTGGGGAAGGAGCCCAAACGGCACCAAGAGAAACTTTTGGCGCTCTGCGCGGATTTCTCGGATCTGCGCTGGCCCTCCCTCCCTGACCCCCTCCCTGGGCCCAGCACAGATCCAAGAGATCCGCGCGGAGCCCCAAAACTTTCTGCTTATGGTGTAAAGTGGAGACCAATCCACGAGAAGCCGTCCACAAGAAACCCATACCTGAGACCTCAGGACGCCCATTGGTTTCAAGGTGTGGGCGCGTCACGCTTTCCATGGCCAAACCAGAAACCAACAAACCCACGGCACCCTGGAGGCAAGCAGGGTGTTTCTTGGCATGGGTCTCCACTGTATGGCGAAGCTCAAAGATGCGCAACGCACGCAACGCCCGAGAGACACGCGCCGTCGAGCCTGGCCCGGGCCCCCAAGGGGTGGCCGGGCCACGGGCCGGGCCGCCACAGGGGCCGGGCGAGAACGCGAGGCGGACGGGTGAGGACGCGAGGCGAGCGGGTGGCGACCCGAGGGGCCTCCACCACGGGGCGATGACACGGGGAAGATGCGTCGTCGACGCTGGCGTCGTCGTCGTCGCCGCCGCCGCCGTCGGCGCCGCCGTCGTCGTCGTCGTCGACGCTGGCGTCGTCGTCGCCGTCGTCGTCGGCGCCGGCGTCGTCGTCGTCAAGGTCGTCGTCGTCGTGTTCGTCGTCGACGTCGTCGTCGTCGTCGTGGTCGTCGTTGTGGTCGTCGTCGTCGTCGTCGACGTCGTGGTCGTCGTCGTCGTCGCCGTCGTCGTCGTCGTCGTCGTCGTCGTCGTCGTCGCCGTCGTCGTCATCGTCGCCGCCACCGCCGCCGTCGTCGTCGTCGTCGCCGCAGACGCGTCGTCGTCGTCGCCGCCGCCGCCGTCGTCGCCACCGTCGTCGTCGTCGTCGTCGTCGTCGTCGTGGGCGTCGTCGTCGTTGTCGTCGTCGTCGTCGTATTTGTCGTCGTCGTCGTCGTCGCGGCCGGCGTCGTCGTGGTCGTCGTCGCCGTCGCCGTCGTCGTCGTCGTCGCCGTCGTCGTCGTCGTCGCCGTCGTCGCCGCCGCCGTCGTCGTCGTCGTCGTC